ACTCAGAAAAGAAAAAAAAAAATTGTTGAACAAAGAAGAAGAAAAAGAAAAAAATTTTACAACAAATAATAAGACGAAAAATTCCTGGTGAAAACAGCAAAGACATGGCGCCCTATAACGCAAGATTAAATACATGAGTTCTGCGCTGTCATATGTCTGTGTAGATACTGTGCTATATCTAGATGGGTGGTTAGTTCGGCATTCAAGTCTTAAGGTCAGTATGCGCCCACTCCCCTCCAGGTATTTTTATAGTGCATCACAAAAACTGGATTTACTTTCTCCATTTTACCTCCTTTAAAGACAGAAACATGCTTGACTTACCTGCACAAAAATGATAACTACGTCCTTTTTTTTCATTTTTTTTTTCTTTTTTTTTCATTAGATATCGATTTCTTCAGGTTCATAATCCCCCTCACTCTCAAGATGTGAAGTTGGTGCATCTGTTAAAGCCTTAAAGGTTCCCGGAAAGTCGTCATCCTGAACAAGTCGACCCTTTTCATTTTGTGAAATATTTTCCTTGTCCATCGGTCGAAAGTTCTCGGGAATACTTACCAAGGCTGCTTCTCGCGTTGCAAACCTCGCAACATGATCCTGAATTGTGGAGACATAAGCAATGGGATCACGAATCAATTTGGAAGCAGCGGCGGAGTTTAATGGGTCATTGGGGTTCGGGTAGCGCAGTAGTTGAGGAAGAAATACCTCGAAGATATTCTGCAGTTCATACATTGGAGTCCACGTTTGATTGATCACGTCGAGGCAAACTGACCCACTCACTTCATCCACGTTTGGGTGATAAATGCGATTACTGAAACCAATGGATGGGGACTTAAACGGGTATTCCAGCGGCAACTGCACGTGAATGGACCATACCCCGCCCTCGTACGGTGTCCCCTCGGGGCCGTAGAACTCCACCCAAAACTCCGAGACGGAATCCGACGGGTGGACCTTCCGCGGACCATTCATTAACTTCATAAAGTCCATCTCTTTGCGACGCGAGGAACGATCCGCGCACATGGTTTACAAAAAAAAAAAAAAAAAAAAAAATACGTTCTGTTGTGCGTTCCTTAGTTTTTGTGGTTTGGTTTGATTTCGGTTTGATTTGTTTTAGTTTGTTTTTGCTTTCGCTTTTTTTTTTTTTTTGATTCTATTGATGAAAAAGAAGGGAAAAGAAAAGAGATTTTTTTTTTTTTTGTTTTTCGTTCCCGCATTCTTGAAATTATCGTTCTCCAGCATAGTAGCGTCGTGTTTCTCTCACCCATGGGGTTTGTAACGATGGATAGAGAGAGAAATAGTGTATGATCAAACGATACAAAAAAAAAAAAAAATAATAATAAATAAATAAATACTTCTCTCACAATAAAAAAAAAAACATCCCCATATTGTCATTAGAAGCACAGCTCTCTTCTTCCGCAACGCCGTGGTTTGGGAGCGCACTAACACCAAGAAGAAAATTCCAACAACCAAGATCATGTTATAGCAGGTGCATGGCAAATACAAGGAAACCACCAATAACACCAAATGAAAACCCTCAAAGAGTATTGTTGTACCAATACTCTCTGAAAACTCCCCGTTAAACAAAGTGAGACGCTTCTCCGCGAGTTTACAATTTTATTCATAGTCTAATTACCCAAATGAACTAAGAACGATATCTCGGCAGTGTTTTCGTTCTTTTTTTTTTTTTTTTTGCCCCCTGTTCTAATACTTGACAAGCGTGATTGCAAGAAGACATACATCAAGGAAAAAATTCCATTCTCATCAGTGGAAGGTGTGTCAACACTCACTGCAATGCCTTTACAGGTGGAGTATTTGTGGGTTTCTACTTATCGTTTCACACTACAGCTTCATATGGTTTCAACAAGAGAAAAAAGAAAGGAACCAATAAAAATGAACAAATACAGGCACAACAAACTTACCAATTATACCAGTAAACAGCACTACATATCCAGTTGTATAAAGAAAAGCTTAAAAAGGCATATTTTACCGTAAAAAGGAAGAAAAAAAAAACAGATTATCTATTATCTTTTTTCTTTTTTTTTTTCTTTTTTTTTCTTCTTCTCCTTCTGAGTCATTAAACGTCTTCTTCATGTACCTTAACAATAAGTTATTACTCATAGTCATCGCGTTGAACGTTAAACGAATCCACATGCTGCTTAATCTTTGATCCCGGCATCCATGTAATGAGATCTTCCAGGCCCTTCGGAACAAGGAAGGCAGGATCCCGAACTTGTGTCGTCCCAACTCGCACGTGTCCGTGGTGAACCAAGTCTGCGGCGAGTTTACAATTTGGAGCCATACTTAAATCCCGTAGAACAGTGGGTAACCGTCGCTTGCAGAAGACCTCTACACCAACCTTGTCTACTTCAGACAAACCAAGTTTCTCGTTTATTAAGCCCATAGAAAATAGTTTGTCTAACAGTTGTTGTGTCACCTCTATTCTCACTTTACTATCGGATGGTAAATAACGAAGATGTGCCAGGAGTTGTCGGATGAGGCCCACTAAACGCATGTACCGGCGATAATCTTCACGATCTTCCAAATGGTATTTTGTGATACAAAAAGGTTCATGCCAGTTATCTTGTGGATACTGCATAAAGTCATGTTTTCGAAGTAGTTTCTTCTCATGATACTTAAGAGGTCGGTGAATGGGGTTACCTTTGCTGTGAGCTGAAGCAGGTGTAAATTTACTACGCTTACTACGTTTAACAGCTGCCTCCTGCTCCTTTACTGCACTCTTGGAGAGTCTGTTCTTGACCACAGAGGCATGTTGTGCCGTATCCCTAACCATTAGCTAGAAAAAAAAAATAGAAAAAAAAAAAATAGAAAAAAATTAGAAAACATCGAGGGGAGAAAAAAAAAAATAATAATAATAATAATAATAAAAAGAATAATAAAAATAATAATAACAACAATAAAGAGAAAATTGTTATGCCATAAAGAAACCATGCACGTCAATAAGTTAGCAAGAAATCTCCTGCCCCAAACTGAAAATCGTGACTGGTACATTAACATAAAAAAGAAAAAAAAAAACTGAAGGCATTCGAACTGCAAAGAGAAACATAATAGTCATAATAATAATAATAATAATAATAATAATAATAATAATAATAATAATAATAACAATGATAATAATGATAATAATAATAATAACAATAATAATAGTGATAGTAAACGTGTCTGTTAGGGTGCCATTAGAAACGTTTAGCACCCACGTTTCTTGTTGGACGCAATGCTTCCAATTCCCTTTGGGCTTCTTGTTTTTCCAAGAAAATCCGCATAGATGTTACCTTCAGCTCTTCCAGTTTTGACAAGAGTGCCTCATTCTCCAGGATCATCTCATCGTATCTCTGAGCCGCTTTTTGTGCATCTCTTCTTGCTGATTTTACCTTCTTCATGATACTCTTTTGTTTCTCCTGCTCTTGGGAAATAAGCTCTTGGTACTGTGCGGCTTGCTCTTGTAAACGACGATTATTCGCAGCCACTTGTTTATTGATATCATTTATCATTTCACTTCTTAATTGCTCTTCATGGTGTCGCATCTCAATTTCTTGTTGTTTCATTACAACTTCCATCTGCTCTACTTTTTGTTTCTCTGATGCGAGAAGAGAATTAGACCACTTAACCATCTGTCTATTATTCTCTAGATTGTCTATTTTTTCCCTGAGTGAAGCTTCGGTACGTTGAAGCTGTTGCTGTAAACGATCATAACTCTTTTGTAGTTCATCGTATCCAGCTATTTTAGAACGTGTTTCATCAAGACATGCGGCAAAATTCTCTGATTCTTCTTTTAAACGTTCAATTTCTGTATTTTTGGCACGTTCCATAGAGTCCATCTCCTCTTTAATATCGCTGAGTTGCCCACGCAACGTCTCCAACTCTACTGAAAGATGTTGGTTATATTTTTGTAACTCACGATTTTCGTTATCAAGTTCTTGTCTTTCTTCTGCAAATTGAACGCGTTCTTCTTCAAGAGTAGTTTCTAACTCTCTTATCTTCATTTCGCACTTATTGAGTTTCTTTACAATTTTATCACAAGTCTTCTCTTTTTCCTGTGTAATACGTTCAATTTCATCATCTTTACGTTGTAATAGCTCCTTGATTTGTTGTGCAGTTGCTTCATCTGATAAAGCTGAATAATTTGCATTAGCAGCAGAATCACCACTGTTGGGAGTAACTTTTCCAGTTTTGAGAAATTCATATTTCCTTACCATATCATCTAACTTTTGTTGATGCTGATGCCGAAGTTCAGTAAGACGTTGTTTAATTCGAATTTGCTGCTGCAACTGAGCATAGATATCACCATCAATAGGTTCCTCATCTACCGCTGCAAGAATAAAAGAATCTGTAATACTTGCAGTCGTATTGGAATCATTAGATACATTCTTTGTATCAGCAATACAAACACCATAACGACGAAGTGAAACATTAACTTCTCTAATACGTGATTCCAACGCTTCTCGTGCATTTTTTTCTTCATTCAATTGACGAAGAATAGCTGAACGTTCGTCATTACCATTCCAATGAACACTAGTATTAAATGATGTATTAGGAAGGGCATTATTACCACTTTCTTCCATAACACGCTTCATTCGTTCAATATCTCTTTCTTTTTCTGTTACTAACGACTTGGTACGTTCTAGTTGTTCCGCTAAAGTTTTGTACTCTTCTTTACTTTGTGCAATTTTTGCCTTGATACGTTCTTGATCTCTTTCAATCTTTTCACGTAATTTGATATTTTCATCCTTAAGAGAGTTAAGATCTACCTTTAGTTGAGAAATTGATTCATTTTCTGCTACACGCTTTACAGAGTCTTCATGGCGTTGACGAATTAACTCATCTCTAGCCCTAGTAACTTCATCAAGTTGTCGTTGTGCTTGTTCAACTAAACCACTAGTGGCTTGTTGTGCATATTTTTCTAAATCTTCTCGGGTATATGTTGAACGTCTCCATGCTTCATACATCGCAACAAATTCATTTAAGTAAAACCCAATTTCTTTTACATCCCAACCATCATCAGTTGTGTTATACGAACCATCTTGTGGCATTTTTGAACGAACCTCACGCAATTGATCCTCTGGAAAAACTCGTTTAATAAAATTCACAGCAAGTGATATCATTTCTTTCATATGACCAGCTTCACTTTGAGCATTCCACTCAAGTAATGAGCATTTATCCACTTCTTTAGCCAATTCTTTCTTCTTCTCCTCAAGAGCTTCATATGCTTTTTCAACTTGAGCTTGAAGAGTACGACAATTTTCTTCAAGTTCAATATTGTTTTTCTCACTTCCACCTCGTAAATCTGCATTCTCAATTTCAAGTTCTTCAATACGTTGTCGTAGTTGATCTTCACTCTCAAAGTCAACATTTCCCAGTCGTCCTTTAAGTTCTTCAATTTGATCCAGAAGATCCTGAATACGGGCATCCTTTGGATCCATATTCTTAATAGGTTTGTTTTCAATTTGCTTCGCCCTTAAAGCAAAACGTAGAGTGGATATGGTTTCTGAGATATTTTTCTCAGATGGTCCAACATTGGCAAACATAACTGTTTTTGCATTACCACCAAGAGAATCTTTGAGAAGCATAGTCAAGGGTGAACCTCGATATGGAATATGCTTTCCTCCTTTAACAATGGTATCAATAACCGTAGCAAGAGCTGAAAGTGATAAGTTAATATTACATCCTTCTTTCGCAGTCTCTCCAGTAGCGTTAGTTTTACTTAATTTTTCTGATCCTGCAAGATCTACTACATTAATTTTACTTGTAAGAACAATAGGAGAACTTGGATCTTGTTCAAAATCAAATTGTTCAACTTGAAGAGTAAAAAGTGAGTGAGAACGACTACTGGTATCATTTAAATCTGTAGATGCTGTTTGACGACGGTCAGTACCCGCATTGAACCATCGAATAGCCTCATCAAAACCTGTTACCTCAGGCATTTCTGCACCCTTAACATAAAAATTTTTTGACATATTTTGTTTGATTTCAAGATTTGTCTGTTTTGAAGCTAAGAGGTCTCGTGATTTACCATTGTATAGTTCTACATAAGAAACCTTTACCTTGAAAGTTTTTGTGGCTGATGACAATTTTTTAATTTCGTTGAAGAGAAAATTTACCGTTTGGGGCATCATACCCCACAACTGGGAGTCCGTTAGCTTTCCCGTCATTGTATACGTCTTACCTGAGCCAGACTGCCCATAGGCAAAAACTGTCGCATTGTATCCCTGCAATACGGCCTCCACGAGAGGTTGCACCTCCTGCAGAAATATATCGCGCTGTGTGTATGTGTTGTTGTAAACAGCATCAAACGCAAAAGTGTCGGCATCACCAATAGGGTGCTGTACAACAACTTGATTTGTTGCGAGATCAAGACGCACAAGTGCCTTATCTCCACGCTCTGCTTCATACGGCAGTAAATTACGGCAACGAACCACCACGCGAATATTTTCCGCTCCCGGATGCTTCTTTACCATGATGCTATTTCTTCTTTGATATGAAAAACCTTAACCAACGCGCACTGAACCATCTCGATGGAAAAGGAATGAGAAGTAAGGAAAACATAAAAAGGGAGCCAAGAAAAGGAGAGAGGAGGGGGGAACGAACTACTCATAGCACAAATCACGTCTTCGAATATATATACAGAAATAAATAATAATAATAATAATAATAATAATAATAATAATAATAATAATAATAATAATAATAAAGAAGAAGAAAAAATAAAATCCAAATTTTGAAGAAAGGAGAGATTTTGTTCAAATTTCGCAACGTCGCAGGGAGTCGTAGAACTCACGAACCGGAACGAACGCAACATCTACTTTTCCACATGCGTGGATACTCTCATTCTGAGAAATATCCAACCACGGATCCTGATATAGTGCACCCACATTAGGATCACGTGGTGGTGCATTCTTCAGAACTCGAGCGACGATAACGCCGACGCAAGATCCATTATCTTTCCGAATCACAGGTCCTCCACACATACTTAAAATAAGAGGAGATTCTAAAGAGGCTAAAACTACCGTACCGTAGTCAAGAGAAACTAGTGCTACTCTGCACTCACCTTTAATTTGAACCTCTCTGAGACGAAGACCGTCATCATTAGGATTACCCCTCTCTTCTAGAGATTCCATCCCAAGAAAAATAAGCTCCGTACCCTCTTTAATAGGATTTAAATCTAATTCAAACGGTAAAAACTTTGAATTCTCTATCTCTTTTTCAGATTTACACCTCAATGAAGAAACATCCATATTTGGAAAATATGTCTGTGAAAATTCCATTTCTAATGATGTTCCCACACTACAGTTACTCTTTGGAGACAATAGTCTTGTACTAATATGACGTTCACCAATCGCCCGGAGTCCGATCGTGTCACCATACACTTGTCGGTATCGCACCGGACATGTGACGTGAGCTGCACTTAATAAATGATATTTGTAGAAACTGTTAAGCTGCTGAAATGAAACGAGAAAACCACTTCCACGAACTAACGGTAAAATTGTTTTTCCCTTTTGTGTCCATAGGAAATACGATGAAACACCCAAAACAGACATTGTACCTTTACCCAAGTGATGCAAAAAAAAAAAAAAAGATTAAAAAAATAAAAACAATAATAAGGATTTACAAACAAAACAAAAGAAAGTACCAGGGGAACGAGAGAGTACAATTTCATATTTAAGAGAAACCTGATTTAAAAGAAAAAAAAAACTCATCAAAGCACCTCTCTCAGGATGAAATGAAAGAAAAAAAAAAAGGCGTTGAAGAAGAAAAACAAAAATAAAATTATCTAATATACATGAGCACGGCTCATTAGTTTCAAAAACTCCTCTTCACTAACAGTAAGTGGTTCCTTGATCTCATTTTCATTTTTTCCAAATGCTGCGGATGGATGAGCAAAGAGAATCATCTCTGCGAGTTCATCATCTGTTAAATCCATATCTAATGAATCGGCAATTGGGCGCAGGTCATCTATGGTAATATATCCTTTCTCATCTTCGTCTATCAGACGAAATGCCCGAACTGCTTCTGACCTATTTTCACGTTGCATCATTTTTGCTAGAAGAACACTGTAGAATTCATTGAAATCTACTGCACTATTGATGGAACCACCAACCTGTTTAAGCAAATGCGCCAGTTCCTCTTTACTTACATCATAACCAAGAGCACAGAGTGCTACTTTCACATCTAAAGCTTTAATTCGTCCAGCTCCTTCTGAGTCAAAAAAATCAAACGCCTCTCGAAGCTGCATCTTGTGTTTTTCAGATATAGTGAAAGTGAGAGGCGTCCTTTGCTCAGACTTTTCGCCACATGATGATTTTGGATTGGACTTTCCTTTACTTCCCTCCATATTGGGAGGCACAAACTCTGAAAGAAGAAGAAAGAAAAAAAAAAAAAAAAAAAAGTGTTGAAAAATAAAAATAAAAATGTTCATTACAGAGCAAAAAAATAAGTTGTAAATACACCATTCCAAATTCTTTCTTTTTTTTTTGGTTTTTTCTTCTTTCTTTTCAGTTCATAAATGTACCTTCTTTTTTCCAAAGTGTATGTATTCGCCTGTATATGTAAGTAGTTTCTTTTCCACGCATTCCAAACTGATATGAAAGATTTCGCTACTCACACTATGACAACTGAACCGAACTCTCCGTTTGGTAATACTCATCTTTAATGCTTTGCATGCGACATACATCAACTACCGAAAATGTAACATCACCAAAGTTATGGTGCTGAAACTCAGCCCATAAAGAATGTGGTATTTTACTACCAAACTGAGCCTTTTGACTGGGTCGAATTTTTGCTACGGTTATGTGAGGAACATAAGAATCATGTGGATTGCCCTTTATATCCACACGCAACTTGCCTCCAACTCTTTGCCGAATCTGACACACTGCATAATCCAGAGTACTAAAGTCTGCCTCGGGAAGAACACGGATAAACAGCACACGACCGAATCCAAATGTTCCCAATCCTCTAAAGCGAAGTTGTAATGGATGAACTGATGAAAACACCTCAGCAAGAGCATCATGAATGAGTGGTAGCATTTCCTTCTGCTCGATCTCTGGAATAGTCATTACACCCAATGTAATGTGTAATTTTGCAAGGGGGACAAGTAAAGGGGCATACTGCTGGTGAGAAAAAAGGATATGATCATGCATCTCCTTTACACGTCCACCAAGAACATTCTTCACCGGAAGACGTAAAGACAAAAAATGCGTAGGCCGCACCTCTGCACTCCACGCGGGGGGTGTTGTCTGTCGTGTCTCTCCTGTTGTGAAACTCGTCCGCAGCTCACGACGATACCGTGATTGTACATCCGCCTCCTCTGTTGTCACACCAGGAGCTATTCTGCGATCAACTATGCGGTGATTAATGGGAAAATACAGACCTCTCTCGCCCTTCTGCAATACAGCAAAAGTGCGCCTAAGCATTATACTTCAAAAAATAAAAAAGGGAAAGGGAAATAGAAAGGGAAAAAGGAGAACGATGAAAACGTGATATATATATATATATATATATATTACGTCTGCATAGGTACAACTATATGTACAAAGAGATAAAAATAAACAAATAAATAAGGAGAAAAAAAAACCTGCGAAAGAAATGGTATAGAAAGCAAACAGGGAATCTACGTGTCGAGCATTGATAGTATTGGGTGTTATGGTGGTGCTCACACTGAAGAATACCCAAGAAAGAAAGAAAGAAAAAAAAACACAGAAACAAGAACATTAAAATAAGAAAAAAAAAGCAAAAAAGGAAAAACATCTGCTGTAAATGAGAAAGTCCGTTTACGATGTTGCACCACCATCTTCAGCCACGAGGTCCGCTGGGTAAAATGTAAGAGCTCGCTGACCCAAGTCACTGTGAGATGTCTCTTGCAGCACTGCAGAAGATGCGGTGGCGATCTTTCGAATTGTTGAGTGTTGTTTGTCTACACTATTAACATTAAAATACAGGTCTTTAATAGATTCACCCCATTCAAGAAAAAATTCGTAAATCAGTTCCCGTTCCACTGGGCTGTGTCTTAATTTAACAGGATTGTGAGCGTGAGTAAATGAATCCGCAAGACACCTAAATGCGTATGACTTTACGGAACTCTTAACTGGAAGTGAAATAACATAAAATGCAGATACAACCATTCCCAAAGTATGTCGCACACTTTTACTCATTATGCGAGATATTTCATCTGATAGTGATTCTCGTTCACCAGGTGCTTTTCTCTTAATCTCAACTATAGCATTACATGCCTCAACTGAAAGTGCTGGGGTCGACATGGAACGAAACCAGTCACATACAAGAAAACTAAGAATACTTACATCGGTCATAGCATTGACATTAAAGCGACGTCTATTAATAGATACTCTACATGCACTTAATGTCGCTTCACCAGGAGATGCACTAGATGCAATAGACAGAAGTGCCAACTCAGCATTTGAAGCATTTTCCCTGGTCAAATTTATTAATCTACAAAGAATAACATGAATAACCATGGGAACAAAACGGTAATAATCAGCTTGTTCGCCATGTAAAACAAGACGTTGTCGCTGTAGGAATAACTCAACATCAATTATAGCATCAGATATCTCTACCCTAAAAGCTTGTGTAAGTCTCCATAAATGTCGTTCAAAATCATGAATAAATTGAGCTTGTCTTGAAGTTTGAATAGCGCCAGGTCTTTCTTGACGAACAAGTCTTATAACTTCCGCACTTGGCATATGTTGACTATAAACTAAATAACATGCAATCATTAGACCTGTTCGACCTAAACCAGCATGACAATGAACTAGTACTTTTCCAGAATTTTTTACATGAAAATCCATTACCTGAACACTACGTAAAACAATATCTTGTTGTGGTGCTGTCATATCTGGCCATGGAAATTCATAATAACTAATATTATGTCGCATTAAATCCTCTTCTCCATTGTAGCTGTAACCAGTAGAAGTATAAACACCATCAGGGCCACAACTAGCATGTTCTCCTTTTTCTTGCAGGTTAAAAACCCCTGTAATCTGTTTTTCTTTGAATTGTTGTATAAGAAGGTACTTGAGAAACAGTGATGTTGACGGTCTTTGACTTGCAATAACATCGGTTCCCACCCAATTTGAATTCAATCCTTCAATTGCTGTATCTGCGCGTTTCTCTTTCATGGCTTCCCAGCTCTCATGTTTGCACTTTACACCACCGCAAAAAGAGCAATGAATCCCTTGACGCGCTCTGTCAAGAAATCCGTCCACTTTGGACTCATCTACTTTCTTGAACTTTTTTGATTTCGCTTTTGTTGACCGGACATGTCTGCTGGAGTCCTTCGCTGAGCGGTCCTCCGGTGGAACAGTTGATGCATCTCCAAGACCACCCAACATAGCCTACAAAATAACAAAAGACAAAAAAAAAAGATGAAAAAAAAAACAAAAAAAAATTGCACAAAAAACACTTTTCACTTCAGAGAATAAATGTAATAAATAATTTCGCAACATCTACATATTCATTTATTAAGAAAAAGTTATAACAACAACAGAAAAAAAAAAAAAAACATCCTCGTTTCCTATCCTAGATGCAATCTAAGAACAAAAAAAAAATACATATATTAAATAAGACTTTAACGAACTATATACTCAATTTCAAAGAAGCAAATTCCACGCTAGCTTTGCTCTCCTGATAACGTGTTACTTCTACCTGATTAAGGATAGCTTCGGTAACCTCTCCTCTATACCCAGCTTTGGCAAGTAAATGTTGTAAAGTTTGTAAATGATCCCAACCTTCCTCTCTCATTACAGAGGGAAGAAAAGTGGCACCGTATACTTGGTATCGAATTCTTATGCCGTGAACTCCGATAACCCAATCTTTCCAATTATCTGCCTTTTCAAATGAATGAAGCAAACAAACAGAGCAACGAAGAGATGGGAGTTCATTAAGCTCAACTGGAGGAAAACGGCTGTCTTCAAATGAAGCAGCAATTGCATAGTTTTTGAGTTGATCATGAAGTGGTTCAGCACTGAAATTTCCAATACACCCACGAAGATTACCATTAAGAGTCTTTAGAGTAACGAAGATTGGAGAAGGGTCGTTGGGAATACCTTGAGGAACCTGAGGAATTGGTTCATTTTTGAGCTTGCTCACTATGACAGCGAAGCAGTACGCTGCCATCTCGGGGGTAGCTCCAACCATCTTGCACTCCTGAATGGAAGTAACAAAAAACCCAAAGACAAAAAAAAAAGAATTAAAAAAAATTAAATGAAATAAATAATTAAAGTGAAAAAATAAAAATAAAAATAAAAACAATTCATACAAAATAAACTGATGTGACACTATTTCCAATGTCTCATTTTGTATTTTCATGTTTTTTTTTTTTCTTTTTTCAAAGAGGTACTCAGGCACTCTTTTTCCCAGTATTTAAACTGTCAGCACGGCCTTCACTCTTGGGAATAGTGTGTGAACACAGAAAGCAAGTTATAAAGACACCAGTAATATCCATCAAAACTTGAATACATGGCGCTGCGTGTTCTTTTCTGATACCCACAAACTTAAAGAAAAAAGGTAAAGTTGTACCCAACAGAGTTGAAATCACTATAATGCAAAAAAGTGACAAAGAAACAGCAATTGTTGAGTAAAACTGAGCCCCGTAAAAGTAGTATACTCTGGCAAAGCCAACCAAAGTCAAAAGTGATGAACTGATGAGCCCACAAGCAATTTCTTTACGCAAAACCAAAAGATAGTCCTCTTGCCGGAATTCACGTGTTGCTAACCCCGTGATACACCGAACAGTTGACTGATTTCCTGCATTTCCTCCTGCCCCAACAAGCATTGTTAGGAACATTGGAATAATAACATGATGACTGATAAGTTCCTCGTACATTTCAAGTATAAACTGAGACAACGATTGAAACAGAAGTAGCATAATCAGAACAGTTGTCCTCTGGAATACCACAGTTGATATCCCACGAAAACTTAGATGAAGATAAGAGGACGACTCCTGAAGAAAACCATCCGCTACAGTAGATAAAACCACATTTTCCTCTTCCATCTTTTCCATAAGTGCAGCATTAGAATTGATCTGAAGAGAAGGGATCATCGTCAACCCTTAAATAAATAAAAAAGTCATGGAATAGAACGAAGAAGAAGAAGAAAAGATAATGGTGATTATCATGAATTAAGAATAAAAGTACAAATGCATCAAGGTTATCATAAAATAAAAATTTAAATAAAAACCTATATATATATATATATATAATATAATATATAATATATATTATTGATTGTATTTTTCTTTTTTTTTTTCCTTTCATTGTGTGTGTGTGCGTGTGAGCAAAAAGGATGGGGAGGGGTCATTACACGAAAAACGAAGAGACCGCCTCGCGTCCTGAATGAATACCTCGCTCCTCAAGCGCCTCATGCTGATTAACAAGTGTTCCTCGACACTGATGTCCAACTACACATTGGTATCCCATCTTGTCTGGTGTCCGCTCCAGAAAATCAACTAATCTTAGTGCGTTATGTTTTGAACAAAGTAACTCTTTGCATCCCTTCAAAGGTAGATCTGAAGGCAACTCTAGTGGTGTTGACAAACAGAGAGAGGCGTCATAGCAGACGTAACAGGAGTCTTTAAGGAGTTCACACTGAGATGCCAATTTGCCGTGTTTTGCGCACCACACTTTGTGATCTGTCTGTGACCATTCCGGTGAAGTCACTAATCCCACATTGCGTGTACGATTCGATGATGGTGCCCAGATGACACTGGCTGGGGTTGTAGAATGCATCACCCCTCCCGTTTGCTGCGGTCTACTACCCTTAGACGGCAACACATATTGAGGAGGAGTTGCAGCAGTATTAGACGATGGCACACCACCGTCAATAAATTGGCCACGACAAGCAAACTGTGGTTGACATTCAAATATCCCTTTACGAACCTCTTTCATCTGATGAATGTTTCTCCTACGGTTATGAAGACTGCAGATAACCATTTCCGTCTCGTTACGCTGACGACACTCCTTGTGAAACTTACATCGCATTTGTCCAGGTTGATCATTTAATGGAATCAAGTCAACCCGTGTTCGCTTTCGGCGATGGATGGAGCAGAACCCCATTTCAATGGTGGATTTGCTACCGTACATTTTGTTGTTAAGCCCTTAAAGAAAATAAATAAACAAATAAATAAATAAATAAATAATATATATATATATATATATATATAATCTATCTAGGCTGTATCAACTATATATATATATATATATATATATATATATAATAATAAATTTGAAGACAAAAGATAGAGAAAATCAAGACAGGTTTTTTTTTTTTTCCTTTTTCCCGTTGTCACTTTTCTTCCTTATATATTTTTTTCTTATGGGGACATAAACATTACTCATTCATACAAACGATAATATGAAACACGCCAAGAACTGCATAAAACATTTAAAAAAAAAAAAAAAAAAAAAAAAAAACCTTTAGGGAAAGTTTTCGGAAACCTCCTCCCACGATTGATGATCTGACGGATCTCTCGTACGAAGAACTGTCATTTCGGTTCCCTCATCATCGCTAACTAAGTATAGTAACACAGCGGAGCGACTCCATGCTGCACAAACGGCACCCTGTGGCCATTTAAATAGCTCACAATCAAAGTCTTCAAGGGCAGGTGAAACACAATTCAGTCGCAGAATATAAACACAACTGCGGCAGCATATAGCCAGCAACTGAAATGGTCGTCCAACTGACGGACCCCATACTATATGATGAATAGAAGCATTAGCCCTTTCAAAAGGTGCACTTCGGATTCGCTCAAAATGTTTATATTCATTTGAAACCCGGTAAAGATAAAAACAACCATTCATACATCCAACAGCTAAAGTCATAGCTTCATCAGCTGAACTTGGAAACCATGCAATAGAGGTAATTGCTCCTGAGCGTGTTTCTAAAGGTCTACCCACTTCCGTCTCCTGAGTAATTTTAGATATGGATAGAAGCTGTTTCTGTTGAACCTCATACAAACGTACCCATCCGTCAAGTGATGCAGTAGATAAACGCAAACCATAGCGTTGCTGTGGACGAATAAAAGCAACATCTGTTATTACATCTGTTTCGTATCCTCGTACAGTGGAACATCTCTCTGCCTGTACCACTGGTTTTCCATCATGTATGACGATTTCAATTTTGTAGACATAAATCCACCTGTCAGCCCCTGCAGTTGCCAATAATGCTTCGTGTTCTCGATGCAAACACCACGCCACACGAGTAACGGTGGCCACATGATCATTTAGAACACAGCACAAACTCCAATCATTTGATTCTGTATCCAATAAAGTGCGATGAAAGATGTTTACCACTTTATCACTCGAACACGATGCAAGTAAGGCACCTGATGGATCTAGGGCCATATGATGAACAAATGTCCGGTGAGCTGTCTTGCAAGGGTACATGTTAACTCCTTCACACAACACCATCAACCTTTAAAGTTTAAATAGAGGAAAAAAAAAAAAAATGACAAGAAAAAAAAAGAGAATTACAATACCAATGCAAATAAATAATAATAACAATAATAATCTAATATGGTTAAAATGCAAACATAATCCAGATGATCTAAACCATTAATCACACTTCTATTGTATTTGAATTTACACGAAAATAAAATAAAATAAAATAAATAAAAACAAATGGTGAAGACAGTCATGCTTTTTCTATACATTGTTCAATTAAATTTGCAAGTTTTTGCGCATTTGAAACAAAAGGTGACGGATTAATAAATGCAGCAAGTATAAGTAAGAAGTTTTTGAATTCATTCTTGCTTATCTTTCCGGGAACTGTACCCAACTGAAATAAAGATTCAACCTCTTCACTAAGAAAAGCAAATTTTCGAATCAAAAATATCTTCATCAATTCCTTTGAAAGAAACGTTGGAGAACGTTTCTCCTTAAATTTTGCAAAAATACTAGATACATCTGATTCATGTTCACTAAAGTATTTCACAACTTCAACCTCACAAAGCTCTGAAAAGAGTTCTTCTTTAGGATCAGTATCATAGTGATTCTCTATGTGTTCTACAAGGCTAGTAATTGTCCAAGAATTCAACTGTGAAACTTTTGTTAGGTAGTTTATCATATCCGAAACGGATTTAATACCCTGTGAAGGGTATAAAGCACGAACCACTTGACGATCTTGAGGTTCAACTATTGCAGAAACACAACTTTCAATTTTTTCACGTTTTAAAGGAAGTCCACTTGCGGCAAGCTCACAATATACTCTACCCAAATAATCATGAACCTGATTAAGCTCTTCGGCAGCTAAACAATTTTGTATTGCATTAAGATAGGTCCCATTGGTCTCTGAACATCGATGAAGTGAGTCAATACCTGCTGTAACATGCCCTACCATTTCTTTACCATGTTCTTTACATGAATCAACAGGAAAGTTGTCATGGGATCTCAAATGATGATGTGAAAACAATGAGCAATGACCGCCATCATTAATGCAAGTGAGAAACCTAACAGTTAGAATATATTTTTGTTGATCATCACGAACTGCGTCAACTAACCTTAATGGTGGTTCAACCGGTTTACAGACACTTGACACCATCGAAATGAGTTCATCTGGTCCCATTCGATCATCCACCATAACTCCCAATTTTGCTTTAGTGATGTATTGACAAATCGTATCTTTGTCTATTTTCCACTTACGTCTCTGTGCTTCTTTCGAGTATAACGTAGCAGTATCTGTTATATTTTGAGTAGTAGATTGTACATCCATACGAAGATTACCTATCACTGCAGGTTGGGACTCATTGGTGTCGCAAAATATCTTTGTAACCGTTTCATTCCAACTTTTCCAATGAGCATGCAGAGATAAATCGGTCTCCCGTAAAATATCTTCAAGTACCTTTAGTTTATTCTCAGTTTCCATACAACGTTCCCTTGTTGTTTCTAATAAACGATTTTTTTCACGAACTTCTTCAAGTATACGCTCATGACGACTTTTAGTGTCTTGTTCAAGTAAATACAAATCTTCCAGCTCTTTCGCTAATGCACCATGTTTTGAAAGTTTTTCTCTAAGTGTTACTTCATGTGCATAGCGACGCCATCTTTTAATAATCATAGGAACTACACGCAACGCTGCACCTCGTGCTGCTAACCGTTGAAACCCTTTTTTTCTTACATTTACAAGATTACAAAGTGCTCTCCAAGCTCTAAAACACATCTTCTTCCATAAATTATCCAATTTACGAACTACACGTATCATTACTTCTTCTTCCAGAGAGGCACGATGCTGAAGAGAAGATGCCAGCGCAATGTGGTAATTATATTTTTGTAAAATACGAGCAAAACACTCTGCATATGATCTTCGTTGAATAACCTCACCATTATTTAGGGTTTGAGTCCTTGTGAACATTACTGCTGGGAGAATCTCATGTAGTGCTTTTACGAGAAGTTCTCCATACATTCCCAAAACAGAAGCACAGCGATGAAGTACAGGTAAAACTGTCGCAAGAAGAAGTTCTTCTCTGATTTCTTCAGATACCCCATATCCTTTTAATTGTTTCAAAAGTATTTCAGAAGCTACAAAAGGACTTCGGTGTGAATCTAACTCTTGCTCTACATGATCAGACCACCACTTGATTTTCACTAGAGTTGCCTCATCCTTTTCAACACCGTCAAATGGATCAAATGAAGCGCCATTCTCAGTATGAGAATTTAACACATTCATTTTCACAATATGTCTACTTATGCTCATCGAATAAAACAAGTCGGGAACTAATTCAGTTTCTACGCTAATAAAAAATAAAAGAACACAATAATGTTAAACAAAAAGAAAATAGAATTCAATTTACAGTACAGATATAAACTAACAATAAATATTTTTTTTTAAAAAGGAGTCTTCCATTGTACTAGATAGCAAAAAACAAAGAAGCAAAAAAAAAAAAAACATGAAAAAAAAACAAATAAAAATGTGTGATTAAACACTCCCCCTCCCAATGACACTATCAGTGGCTCAAGACTCCTTGTCGGAATCTCACTGTAAGTGAATTCCTAAATAATCCAGTGAAAAACCACTTCCATACCTTGACAAAAAGAACCAATAGAAGCATTGTAAACAGTACCCGTTGCAGAAACAGACGGGATTGAGACTGAACACTCATCTGAGTAAGACGCTGAAAATCCTCATTTAATTTTCGTTGAGTAACAGATGCAAAAGAAATCATTTCTTCAGCAAGTAGTGATTGTTGTGCACTACGTGCTCCTCGTCGCAGAAGTTCCCCTCTTAATTCATGTACCTGTTCCCATACGTTTTTTACAAAGCTTTTTCGCAGCCATCTTTCCCTTACAGTGATTTCATTAAGCATTGATGTCTTACGAAAAAAACGTCCCTTCTCTACAGCTAATTCGTAACGGTTACACATACTTCTCACAGCTTGTTCGGTATCTTCCTTGAATCGTGCCCAATCAGACTCTATTTCTTGAAGTGAACGAGACTTTCGGAATCCGGAGGATTGCTCACTAGCTTTTGCGTTCCGTCGAAATACACCACCAGATCTTCCAAGTTCTTCATCGCTACGAGCCCGAGAATTCCTGTGTCGTTGAAAAGTGTCATTTCCATTTATGTTCGCCTCACACTCTTTTAGACGCTTAATCAACTTATTATGATGTTCCTTGGCAATTTTATAGGCTGCATTAACCTCTGACATTCTCTCATGTGAACCACCTGGTTGATCAGGATGGTTTCGAACCACAAGATCCCTGAACTGCTTTGAGACATCATCTAGAGTCGTTGCGTTAGTAACGGTCATCTCGAGAACATCGTAGGGGTTCTTTCCCTCCGGTGTAGAAGGAAGTTCCTTGCTGGCATTGACAAAGGCTTTGCTCTGAAACACACATCGGATGTTTTCCCGTGAGGTTAACTTAAGAACCAGGCGGAAACGAAACATTTATCTCGATATTCTAAACACCCTCCTCTCCCCTCCTCCCCTCCTCACGTCTTCCTATAATACGTAATATAGATAGTAAGGAAAGTGGGGAAGGGAGTTTGTAAAAGATGGAGGATTTAAAAAAGAAAAAAAAAAGAAAAAAAATTGAATTAAAAGAAGAGCAAAACAAAAAAAAAAAAAAATAGAATGATGCAAAACTAAAAATATCAAACCTAAAACAAACAAAGAAACAAATAAGGAAACAAACAACAGCAAACATAGGGAAGAAATGGTACCACATTTTATTTCTCTAATCAAGATGAATCTTCGCGTGCTTTACAAGGCATTAAACTGTTCCTTTGCTAGTTGAATATTCTCTAAAAGTCCCATCATATCATGGTCTGTGGGTGCGGAGACAACTTTCTTTTTGCCAACATACTTTGCAGCAGTAGACAAATCATATGTAACACACGTTCCATCAGGAAAGACAGTTGTACGTACCGAGCTCCCACCATCACTTGAAAAGGGAAACATATCCGCCAGTTTAACGGAAGCACCAATTTTTTCTTCAGCATCTATCCACAGATTTACACCAATAGCTCTAAGTGAGCGAGGTGGAGGTGAATCTACCTTTGTAATTTCTTTCTTTGCACATTTTGGAAGAGGTTCAAATACAGAGCATTCAATGGACTCCCTTTCCCTTGAAACAACTTCTCCATGTGCCTCTGTCGTCATCATCATTACTTTTCCTTCATCTGCTTTTAACACAGAACTTGCTGTAACTCTATCGACTTTTTGACTATCACCCAGTTTACAAGGACCTGCAGCTTCATCTTGGAACAGTAAATATATTGTAAATCCCTTACGAATGAGCCGCTCAACCTTAAATCCATACTTATTTCCATGTGGAGCAGAACATACATAAAAAATACGATTTCCATACTCCACTATATAAAGATTTTTCCAGGAAAATACTTCATTATTTCCAACCTGACTATCACCATTTCTTTCAGAAGCAGAAGATAGTTTAGCTTGTCGCCTTTCCTCACGCGGTTTATTGTGAGATCTAACGGAAACAGGATCAGTAGTAGGAGTAGCAGCAGAGAGACTTCTCTCTCGCTTAAGAAGATCATCATATTTAGCTTCAACAATATCTCTCTCCTCATTTGTAATAATAAAAAAGGTTCTAGAGGATCCTCCTGTGTTGACAACAATTTTTCGTGCCTTCACTGAATCATATATTACTGCAAAACGTTCAATTTTAGACGTTTCAGAAATATCAACCTCCAGTAGAGCACCCATATCTTCAGTGTACCAAGGTATAACGCTATGAATATCACCATCTACAAGGTACAACCAATGACACGTGCAGTTCTTCCACTCCGGTTGAAGCCGCTTCCCAGCAATTGGCTGGCATAGCCAATAGGTCTCCTCTCCAGCGAGAGCAACAGCAAGAAGCGTTACTTCTTCACCTTCATCCATTCTCGATTTCTCAGATATTTTGTTAAATCGTTCATAGAGTTACAGAAAAGAAAAACAAAAAGAAAAAGAGATTTAACAAAAAAAAAAAAAAAGAATACAAATAAAGCAACCCTCACGCATTTTAAAGGTAGAAAATAAAAGGAAAAAAAAAAAAAAATTGCGTCCTTATCTATATATTTATATCTTTCCCTCTTCAAGTGTGTGCGTGTCTGTATGGAAAATGGTTCGCTCACACCAAAAGCAGAATGTAGGTTGAATGGAAAATCTAGTCATTAATCAAAGCATTATATGTATATTCTACCATTTTGTATGCATGGTAACTCTATTCCAATTTGTCTTGAAACCATCACAATTTGACCCCTTAAGGAAAGCAAACACAACCCTCTCATTATATATACTTTAACACGTTTACAGTATACAACCACCACCCTTTCACTCTCTTCCCTTCCTCTCACCGCGTCAGTGTTTCATCTACTCTTACCCATAAAGAAACTTCACACCACGATTTTAGAACATAACCTTCACAATGCTTCACAAAAAAAAAGAAAAACGTACAATCATATAAGCCATACATATTATTAAAATAAAACAGAGAAGGCTGAAGAACAGAACAGTAAAGCAGTATCGAAAATCACAAAGAAGAATGGTGTCGAACTCAAGCACATTGTAACTTCAAAGGGATTCGCATGGAACCATTGTCACCTGCCGAATAAACTTGAAAGAATCTTGGAACTCTTTAAAAGGAATCTCCATCGCTGATATACTTATTATCTCATCATTTCACCCTTCCTATTCTTAAAAAAAACTTGAAAGAATCTTGGAACTCTTTAAAAGGAATCTCCATCGCTGATATACTTATTATCTCATCATTTCACCCTTCCTATTCTTTAAAAAAAAAAAAAAAAAAAAAAAAAATAATGAAAAACAAAGCAAGAAGCAGTAGTTACAATTAAGAAAAAAAAAAAACCTTATATCAATAAACTTTGATCCAACACAAATTGCAAAAAAAAGAAGAATTTTTAAGAAACCAAAGGAGCTTTTTAATCGAATAAAGATATAAAAATTAGACTAGGCAGTGTCATCTTCTGATTCATCCCTATCGGGATTAGTAGCTTCCTGTTCCAACCTTCGTAGTTGCCTTTGCATGCGCTGGTCAGCGACTAGCATCCTCTTTTTCGTATTAACGATCATTCTGTGCGGTGTAGTCCTTTGTAGACGACGACGTGTCTGTCGATCTGATTTTATTTCAAGCATCCAATCCTCAACAGCGTTACCAGACTCTTTCATTATGCGAGCTATTGGTGGAATTCGTTGTTTATCATCTTCAGTAAAAAAAGTTATAGCCTTGCCAGTTTTTCCTGCTCTTCCACATCTTCCAATTCGATGAATATAGGACTCAATAGTAGTTGGAATATCAAAATTTATAACAGTACCAACATTCTTGAAATCTATTCCTCTAGAAAGAAGATCTGTTGTAACGAGTACCCATATATTCCCAAGACGAAAATTCATCATGGTCTCATCTCGTTCCTCATGAGTCATTTTAGAGTTCATTACTGCAATATGAAGTCCCTGACATCTTATTTCGTCATAAAGTTCTTTTGTTCGCTCAATACTTTGAACAAAAATAAGAACTGGTGGTGTAATACCTTCACGTATAATGTTGCGCATAGCCACAATTTTTCCAAGTTCATTACCACAAAACACAAGTTCCTGAGAGACATTTTTATTGGCTGATGCACGACCAGAAACAATAATACGGATAGGATCTGGACTCATTACGGAACGAGCTATAGTCTCAATTTTTGCACTGAGTGTAGCAGTAAATAATGCAACAACTTTTTCCTTACATGTACATGCTGTAAGGAGAGAATCTACAATCTTGATATTATCTGTTGTAGAATCCCATAAACGATCCCCCTCATCAAATACAAGATATTGAATGCTACTCAGATCGATGAGTTTTTTTTCCATCATTGAAGATACACGCCCAGGTGTAGTAACAAATATATCTTTCTTCCGTGTGGATTGTCCATGTTGAACAAGTTTCCACCTCTGGCCTTTCATAAGAAAAAATATTTCCCTTTCAATTTGTTCAGCAAGTTCCATCGTTGGTGTTACAATAAGTGCACGCACACCAGATTCAGGGTTAGGGGATTTTAACAAATGAAACATAGGAACAAGGAAAGCAATTGTTTTGCCAGAGCCGGTTGGAGCACATGCCAGTATATCTCTCTTATTGATTAAAGAAGGTATAGCTTGCATTTGAATCGGAGTTGGAATGCGGTGATTTCGCTCAAAAAGATTTGTGACGAGGCGTTCATCAACAGATAATGGTGGACGAACCAAATCTGAAAAATGTTCAATAGGTTGTGGAATATCTATTCCTTCGACTTCTAACTCATTTTTGCGCCATATGTTTCTTTTTTTCTTAGCACTCATACTTGGAAGGAGAGTGTGATTAGTATTATTTTTTGGTAACTTCACATTTGTTGAACTTGCGTCCTCTGTTAACTTTGAACTGTTAGTGGAGCCAAAAATGTCAAGGGTACGACTGGGGGTGGGTATCATCACAGCAGACCCGTCGGCCAATGGAGTGGCAGGGGCTGTAGGGCACTCTTTACTCGTAGAGTCCGAGCGGAAACGCTTCATAGCGGCACCATGCCTGTTGGGATCAAATCGAGCTCCTGTTACCAGAGCAGCAAAAACATTCATTGCAATTTCTAAACGGTCAAAGAAAATAATAATAATAATAATAAGAAGAAGAAGAAGAAACGCACAGAGTAAAATGAACATCACAATGAGAGGTGAAATACAACAATAGAGTTTCTCTCTCTTTTTTTTTTCTGATTTTAATATTCACTCTCCTAAATCTGAGAACCAAATAATATCACCAAGGCGCAGATCCTTTACCAGAAAAAAAAAAAAAAACCATGTTTCGATTCCTACGTGACATACTCTGATCCGTAAAAACTCTTCACGCAATGCTTAAAATATTGCATGGGAAGTCCGCATCTCTGAAAGTCATAATCCGTGTTGCGCAGACACAAGCCTACAAGGCATGACATTGCTGCGCATTGCGGTGGTGGTTCACCCTCATTTTCACCCTTTATTTTCACATTTTGACCACCATTTGAGCGCCAATCACGGATGCAGCGATCAAATAACGCTTGCTCGTTAACACATTTGAATTCTAATTCACGATTTCCCAAGTTTTTCTCGACGCAGATCCTCCAAGTATTTGCTTCATCATCACAAATGTCAGAATCCATTCGCTAAAAAATAAATAAAAAAGTCAAGGGGGAGTGGGAAAGTTAAAAATTGGTTTTCCTTACTAACTCCTAGTGGGAGACACTGAATGAATATATACACAAAAAAAGTACCCCTGTTCCTCTCTCTATGCCATCCATGATGGCATAATACCACTGAATCTACGAGAAAATAACAAATTATGCTTATTGTGTATGCTGTTTTTTTTTTTTTTTTTTTTTTTTTGTAAAGTACATAAATAAAATAAAATAAAATAAATAAATAATGCATATACGTAGTATCACTTTAATGTTTTTCCCTTGAGGGGCAAACGCGACCAACGTCCATGATTGAGCCACCAGTGCGAACAACCACAACAGCGTTATAAATACCATAAATTGTAAGGACAAGGAGAGAACCACCAATAATCGTCGCTAAAGATGCTATAATAAGGTATCCAAGATTTCGTTTTTTAATTTCTCTCATAAAACAGAATTGTCCAAGTGCCGTACTCGCCATTCCAACGGCGAACAAAACAATACCATAGTCAATAAGAAGGTGACCTTCAATCAAAAGATTAATAGCAGTTGAAAAAGACAAAAAGAAGGTCACCATACCGCCAGTAACAGAAGCCTCTTCAGGAATAAGCTCTGCTTCATATAATACAAAGCCTAATACCAACCCCCCTCCGATACCAAGTAAGGCGGCCGCTCCTCCCGCTATTAGGGCTACCAATGGAAATAAAACAGTAGTACGATTGTTCCATAAGAATGTTAACGAACTTTTCTCCATACAAGATAAACGCCAGCGATACCAAAAAAACATAATAGCATTTATTAATATGGGCATAAGATAAGAAAAAATATATAAAACGTCTCCACAAACACTTTTAGATCTCAAAGCATTAAATATAACAGTAACAAAGAAAGAGATTAATATACATGTAATCTCTAACTGTGGAAACTGAGGTTGCGAAAATGTGGAGTTACCTGTATTTTCTCGTGAAACTTCTTCTTCAGGAGGAGATGCATTTGAAACCACTACGTCTTCCCTGTACTGATCTTTTCGATATTGGGCAATCATTTTCATTACGGTACGGTACAAAACAAAAACAAGAAGTAAAAATAAAAGAATCAAACGAAGCAAATCCGGACATATCTTACTTAATATACCTCCAATAAGAGTTCCAATAACTCCAAGCGGTATAAGCAAAGTCACATATTGGTAGTTGATGAGAGGACGTGAAAAATGGGGATCTGGATAACGCTTACCAACGGCAAAAATCATATTTAATGTACTTTGACCACATATAGTTGATTGAGATAAACCCACTGCTGCAGTTATTGGCAATTTCATAAGAGCACAGAACATGGGTACAAGAACGCCACCACCACCCACGCCAGCCACGACTCCAATGGCACAGACACCAAAAGCACATACCATGGCTAATATCGAAAGAAAAGATAAATTACTGGAAAGAGATCCTACGACACATTTTCCCTCCACGCAACGCATGGCATCAGGATAGCAATTACTTGATTTATTACACAAAGCGCAAACGCCTCTTTGAATATCACAAGCGAATTCCCCACATTGTAGTCGCTGTGTCACAAAAGAACATTTTTGTCCATACACATCTCGTACGAAGAATAGAACAAAGAATAGAACAAAATAAAAAGACTTCATAGTTTCTACTTATACAAATTAACAAAAAAAAAAAAAAACCTTAACAAGTAGAATAATGAAAAGTAAAATAAATAAGAGAGAGGTAGAGGAAGAGAATGCGTCATCTCATGTCACATGATGGAAAAAAAAAAAAAATACATACACCGACAGACACGCACCACAATACAGGAGAATAAATAATAATAATAATAATAATAATAATAATAATAATAATAATAATAATAATAAAAGGTACTAGATAGATGATTCAAAGGTACTACAATAACTTGCGACGACCTCGTTTCAACGAAAGACGTATTTTCCTTCTACGTCCAGCATTAATTTTCCATGACCTCCCTGCAAAAGATTGAAACGACCTAATTTGAGTAAACGGAACGCCCTCAGGAAACTGAGGGGTCGATGGACCTTTTTTGGCGCGTTTAAGGTCGAGAGACCATTGCCTATCAAACCATGGATGTCTTCGTTTCCACACTATTGGTTTGCGACGCCCGCGCTGAGCAGGTTGTCCTGTTCCACATGTCATTTCTTCTATCTTTGGTGTGTCAATAAGTAAAGTAGGCATTTCTTTTCTAGGTAGTACCGAAAATGGAGTCCTGATAGTGGGCGGAGTCCATGCCACTAATGGGGCGTACGATGTACACTTTGCCCGTGGGAGCAAACAACGAGTAATGTTCCTTGACAACATGTTTCTTAATAACAATAAGAATGGAAGATTCACAAGACCAAAAATAAAGTGATAAAAAAAAGGCAGTTGAAACAGTAAAATAACAAAAAAAAAAACACTTATCGCCATGAGGAATATAAAAAATTTGAAAAACTCGACGCAAAGAAAAAAAAAAAAAAGGTAAAGCCATTTCCGACCGAAATCAGAGATTATTAAACATACCTCAAGAACGCACCATAGTTAGACATGGCAACGAGTATTTTGAAAGAAGGCCAGACAACACATCTTACAGTGTGTCATTAACGGTGGAATGCACCAAGGGCATACCAACCGATTGCAAGACATGCATAGTCTAGAGCACACAAGGCAGGTGCCACGGCCACAAGGACACACCATGACACATTGGCAAGAATGCATCAATGCCTAAAGAAAGGGGGTTGGGGGAGAGAAAGACAAAGACAGAAGAGAGAGGGGGATGAAAAAACTGTAAATAGAATTTGAAAAGAACATAAAACATGACACTTTCTTTCACCAAGAAAAGAAACTACCCCCCACTACCATTTTCTACCAATGACTACAAAGTAAAACAAAAAAAAAAAGATTTTTTTTGCAGAAAAAAACAAAAACAAAAATAAACTTCCGCTAATTAGGTTTCATACTAATATTTTTTTTATCAGGTAGCACTTTCTAGTAATCTAAACTTATGAGATACTCTGCAATCCTTTTTACTGTCGCATTACAATCAGCTGGATTAACAACAGCCTCGGTGTGTTTTGCTTTTTTAAGATCTTGTTGCAAGGATGATGCATCGCCAGGATTCCCGTAAACAGCGATAATAGCTGTTTGCTTTGTTGTATATATACAACCCCCTGCAGCACCCTTCTTAAAAAAGATATACTTCATTTGTCCATCGACACCTGACTGCAGACCGAAAAATTTCACACCGTAAATAGTTACACCGGAAGATTGTACGAGGGACAAATTATTCAGGCATTTCAATATATGAGCAACTTCTTCTGGCTGTGGAATATAAGTTCCCCCATAGGCCCAATAACTTCCATCAGATAGACCGACGATGGACGCACTGTGCATGTTACCACTGCCAATAAGGCTGTCATCAATATACGCTTGCCAAGACATTTAAAAACTGGAGTGCGTCAATAATTTTTTTTTTTTTGTATTCACTTTGATCTTAAAGTACAGGGTTATGGTTAAAAAGAAGAGAAGAAACGACTTTTTCTTTCAGAAAAAAAAATTAATTTAGTATTATTTATTATAAGATACTTTTTTCACCAGTAAAAAGAAAAAAAAAGTCTTTTCATTAAAAACATTTGACTTACCCCAAATGGGAAAAAGGTTACTGTGACAAGTACGAGGCGAACACTAACACCATTTCATAAACACAAATACTATGAAAAAAAAACAATAAAAAAACCGCAATCATATGACAGAATGCCTACTGATATCTCTCCATTATATATATATATATATATATATATATATATATATATATACCATGTCGCCAGTTGACACAAGAAGCTACTTTCCTTTCTCTCTTTAATAGAGGGGAACAAAAAAAAAATAGTACACTAAGCATCATTTTAGATTCTGAAAGCACACAACCTAACATCGTTTTAATTGCACATACTGCAATATGATTACACTGATACAAAGAACAAATGAGATACATCCCATAACAAGGAATAATATTCCCATAACAGAGTTTTTCCCGCCATACCAACTTCGTGTCATCAAAACAACGTGTTTTTCACCTGAAAAAGAAAAAACATCAAAGTTTTCCAGAATATCAATAAAATAATCACCAGGCAGAAGGTCAGTTGTAATTATGCGATACATTTTGGTAAAATCAGACATGTAAGATAAAGAAGCCCATACAAGAAAATCTTCATCAGTTACTGCAGGAATAGAATGTCCAGGTTCTCCATAATAATATCCCTTTTCTTTATAAGGATTACTTGAAGTGGGATCCCCTCCATTAGCCCACAAGACATCGTTTGATTGCACATTTTTCGCTGAACGAAAAAGGTATACGTCACTAGGTAGTGCAATTCCTTTCTTTTTACAAAGATTTCCTTCTTCTAAACTGTTACCAACGGTATCAAATGCATATCCAGCACATACTAATTCAGCACCATCAGGAATATCATTAGAATCATCAGCCGATCCAGACAATGGTAATCGATACAAACTCATAGAATCGTTAAAAAGACTCCACGCCACTGTACCACATGGAAAATATATTCCACCTATATTATTTCCATGAAATTCACCAGGAAATCTAAAGGGTTTGCAATCATCGTTAACTGAATAAGCATCTCCTTCCATTTGCGCCAAATCTCGAGAACCTGCATAATTACGAAAGTTTTGATGAAATCCCACAATTCTGTATTGTAAGTAAATAGGAGATGCAAGACTTTTTAAGAGAGAAAAAGACTTTCTAACTCGAGCTCCAGTAGAGAAGTTAGAATTGTTAAACTCAAATTCTTGCGGATATACACCAGATGGCCCAACCCGATACTGATAATTGTTCACATCATCATATCTGATACTCATTTCAAAAACAGCGTCGCTTACCTTAATAATAACAACACCAACGGGTATAAAAACTACCGCCAACAAAGCAAGAGTCACAAAGACAGGGCAAACAGAATGTCGCGGGTATATACTCTTAAACACTCGTTCAAAGCAATTTTTTTTCTGATTTTTTTTCGGATTTGCTCCAGGAGTTTCGGACATTTTATTCTTTCTTTTTTTTTCAGAAAAAAAAACAAACTCAAGTGTATATTTTATTTTCCTAACGGGCTAAGAAGAAGAAAAAAAAAAAGAATGAAGAAAGAGAAACAGAGTGAGAGGTAAAAATAATAATAATAATAATAATAATAATGATAATAATAATAATAATAATAATAATAGTAAGAATAGGGGAAAAAAAAAATACAAAGATAGGCCCGTTCTTTCCTCAGAAAGGGGGGAAAAGAAAACAAGCTAATGCAACTTCTTTTTTACATACTCAACATGATCGTCATCATCAACTCGACACACCAAACCACCAGAAAAATATACAGGTTTTTCATAAGACAGAGAAATATCATGTTTTGCCGGTAGCTTCGGAGGCCTTGGAAGGCAATTATCATGGACATCATTTAGAAAACGAACGTAATCATCAGGCTTTCTTGTTCTCGTCCAATTATCTGCTAATTCCAGCATGGAAACTGCAAAAGATCCAAATGGAACGCCATTGCCACCTCTTTTGTCATAAATAAAATCCTCCAAAACAGATGCAGATGTGGATGTTATCGCGCTAACATTGTCAATTCCAAGCAGGTAAGAATACATTCTGAAATGAAAAGTGTTGTAATCATCCTCTTTTACAACCCCATTAGAGACACCCCCCAAACCACTCCATAAAGCCTCAATAGATATTCTTATATCCGCATTAAGTGAGACTTTCCTACGAAGTGTATCCACCTCCTCAGCAGTTAGTTTAGAATCAAACATAGAGGCGACACGACCCCATTTTTCTTCTTCTTCACGAGACTGTAAAAAAGCTCCCATAAATTCTTCAACACGATTTTTATTTGCGCAAGAATTAGAATTTAATAAATCCACAACCACAACCACATAAGGATGTCGCAAGCTACCTAAAACTCGATGTGAAAAGCTAAACAAACGAGGTGACGAAATAAATATCCTTTCGGCAAAATTCTCGACAGTCCATCCAACCTTTCCCCTTAAACGACCAGGACTCGACTTCATACCTTACTACACAGTGTTAAAAAAGAAAAAAAAAGAAATAAAGAATAAAAATGACTGCAATAATTATTGTTATGATAATCACAATAATAATAATAACAATAATAATAATAATAAAGATAATAATAATAATAATAATAATAATAATAATAATAATAATAATAAATAATAAATAATAATAAATAATATTATTATTATTATTGGTATTCACTGCCATG